GATGCTAGGGTAGATGGTCCAGTGGTCTGATCCCATCTAGCAATGCCTACTCCAGTACGTCCTGCCTTTCCAAGGCACTATTGGGAATTATGGGCCATCTTATTTGCTTCATGCCGTGCTGCTGGAACATCATTGACTGCAAAGAAGAGCCATCATCGTCAAATCTGTGTGATGGACGGGAGACTCAATTTCCTCTACTTAGAGACTTTCCTCTGGACATCTCAAAGGGCTCTGAAAACCTTAATTAAGCCTCCTGGGGGACGAGTACCAGTCTCATTTTATACATGGGGGAAAGGGGGCATAGAGGGGTAACCGGATTGGCTGGGAAGAGAACCTTTGCCAAACCCCCAGATCTGTTAGCCTTTGGGAGGTTCAAAGTTTGATCAGCAGAACAAGTTCTCATGCGTGTCACACGGCTTCCTGCTTTACGTTCATGGGCGTTTAAGTGAGTAAACTAGGGGCACCTCCTCTTTACACACAGCTGAGCGTGTGCTGCTCGGCAGAGGTTTCATCAACCTGGGAGGCTCCTCTGAATCTTGGGCTGCCGGCCAGGGAAGTGTGGTGCTTTTTGGAGCTTTCACCATGAGCTTCTGAGGTACCAGAGCTCACAGCAGACCCCCTCATTAAAGGGAGAACTTGGATGGAGAGTACTTCAGTCTCAGCCAGTCATCACAGATGTTCAGCATGCTTCATGACCACCTAACATACAGAGTAGGATTAGAGATGGGAGGGAAAAGCCACTTAGGAGGATGGTCCCTGCAGAATTCTAGCTGCTCTTCAGACACAATGTGTAGCTGGAGGCCGGTAGAATGTTTCCTTTCGCAGTCATCTGCCGCCACCAGGTGGATGGTTTGTGAAAAACGACCCAGTTTATTGAACCGTTCTGAGTTAAACCCTTTCACTGGCAGGTGCTTAAGCATGCGATTCCAGTTAAGCCCCCACTTAAGTACTGTTCTGAATAGGGGCCTCTGGGGGCTAAACTTCGGGGCTGCGTTATACTGGATTTGTGGGGAGCTCCCAGCACCTGGGAATGCACTACCCACATTCAAGGTCCAATGTGGCTCCCCTGTTTACAGATATTTCCCATCGAGTGATGGAGAACAGAGCAAGAGAGGTTCCCAGCATAGGATAGAAAAGCAGAAGGGTGTGCCAAGCTCCCCAGGAAAAAGTTGCTATTCTTCTCCATTGCACAGCAAGGAAAGATGAATCTGATGGTTGCAGCACTCTTTGGGCCACGGCAGCTCACCCAGCATGGAGATCCATCCAGCTGAGGAATGCTCTCCCAGAGGAAGGGGCGGAAGAGTCATTGTTTGGGACATTTAACCCAGAACTGAATGGCCGAGAGACGGGATATTTGGAGCTCCTGTTCTCCCTGTGTCATCACATAAGATTCAGGGGATACTCAAGGAACCCAAAAGGAGGCAAATTCACAACTGATCCAAGGAAACACTTTTCCATGCAAGGCATCATTGGCCTGCGGAACTCACTGCCACAAGATGTCATTGAGGCCAAGAATGTAGCAAGAGTTTAAAAAGGATTGGATGCTTATCTGGATAATAAGAATAGTAAGAGTTATAATAGTTAATGCTGACAAAGAGAGCTTTGGCAAGGAGATACAACCCCCTGGCTGCTGGAGAACCCAACAGGGTTTGTCCGTCTCTAACATCTCAGCCTTTGTAATTAAGACTTATGCACAGTAGCAAACATTTAGCTCTCTGACCTACTGCTAAACACGGATATTGACCAGGATTTATAAGCAGCAGAGGGGAGAAAACTCTCTGTCCCGCTCCATCAGGACTGAAGTGGGCCAGGTTCTCAAGGGCAATCCCGTCCCTTTGCATTGCTCAGGGGGCACAAAGGAGCTGGATCCTGGCTAGCTAGAATCCTCTGGGGAGGGAGATGAGAGCTCAGTTGGCTTCACGTTGGCAGAGCTGGCTCCAGCGCTGATTGCCCCTTCCCCAGCCTGGCAGATGGGGTATGTCAGAGGAGCAGAGGCGGATTATGGTTTTGTGGGGGCCCTGGGCCAGAGCAAGTGGGGAGCTCCTCCCCACCCCTTCCGCCTGCAGTCCCATCCCTGCTTCCCCCTCCTGCCGGGGAGCGGGGTCGGGATGCAGGGGTGCCCATGTTTCTGGGGGGCCCCAATTGGTCGGGGGGCTAATCCACCACTGCAGAGGAGGGCAGAGCTCACACCCATCCAATTCTCTATTGTCTCCCATCCCCCACACCCACCAGCGCTGAAGAAGATGGAGTGGATTCAGGGGTGAAAGTAAGTTTAAGGACTTACCGGTACGCTGGAGCCCTGAGCAGGGGCGTGGCCTCGACTGGAAGAGGCGGGGCCTCAGCCAGAAGGGGGGGGGGGCTTTAAATCAAGATTTAAAGGCCCCGGGGCTCTGGCTGGGAGCCCCAGGGCCTTTAAATCACCCCCGGAGCTACCAGAGGCGTCTGGGAGCCCCGGGGTGATTTAAAGGGCCTGGGGCTCTGGCTGCCGCTACCGCAGTGGTGCTCCAGGCCCTTTAAATCACGGCTGGAGCCCTGCCGCCACTACCCCAGGGCTCTGGCAGCAGGACTCACGAGGTGATTTAAAGGGCCCTGGGCTCCAGCCACTGCAGGGAGCCCTGGGTCCTTTAAATCGCCAGCCTGGGGAAGCTGGTTCAGTCCGGCACGGCGCACTGGCTCTTGCCGGTACACCGTACCAGACTGTACCGGCTTACTTTCACCTCTGTGTGGATTTGAACCAGTGCTACCAGGCAGCTCGTACGGGGCATCAAGGGGCCACCTTCTGGAGCCTGGACCTTGCTCTCGGAGCAGCCTGGGATTGGTCACCCTTTTTTCACTCCAGTTATTTTGTAGCTGCTTTCTAAGGCCAGAAAGGACCCTTAGACCATGTAGCCTGCCTGCCTGTAGTTCACAGGCCCTGACATTTCCCTGGCACGCCCCTTTAATGACCCCAGTTACGTGGGTTTGACTAAAGCATCCTCCAGAAAGCCTGGATTTGAAGCCACCAAGAAATGGAGAGTCCACCACTTCCCTGGGTCCTTAACGGCAAATTACTCTCCTTGCTCAAAACTGTGCCTGGATTGGTCTGGCTTTGACATCCAGCTGTTGGATCTTGTTCTGTCTTTCACGGATAGACTCTTCTTCCTGTCCAGAGGGGGCAGTAGCAGCCTGAGCCTTGTCTGGACACTCAATGCCACGTGTGCTGAGAGGCAGAGGCAACTGTGTGCAGTGAACGCATAGTGGATTTTGGACCTGACCCTCAGATGCTGGGGGATCCGGGTACAGAGGCTCTGCCCCAGGCAGGTGATTGTACCCATTCCCCAGAAAAATCAAATAAATTTGGCGATCCAATTTTAAACAGCTGGGGGGTGGGGTGGCCCTTTATTGCTTTGTGACTTTTGTTTGAGGAGGAAGAGGAGTTGGGTTTTGTGTCTTCAGACTAAAGGAGCGAACACCTGTCCACAGCTGGCTGAAAGAGTCTTTGCATCAATAGGGAGATATGATTGAGATCTATAAAATCATGAGAGGTACGGAAAGTAAATAAGGAAGTGTTATTTGCTCCTTCTCAGAACACAAGAACTAGGGGTCACCCAATGAAATTAACAGGCAGCAGGTTTAAAACAAACAAAAGGAAGTATTTCTTCACACCACACACAGTCAACCTGTGGAACTCTTTGCCAGAAGATATTGTGAAGGCCAAGACTGTAACAGGGTTCAAAAAAGAACTAGATAAATTCATGGAGGATGGGTCCATCAATGGCTATCAGCCAGGATGGGCAGGGATGGTGGCCCTAGCCTTTGTTTGCTAGAAGCTGGGAATGGGTGACCAGGAATGGATCACTGTTGGAAGACAGGATACTAGATGGACCTTTGGTCTGACCCAGTATGGCCATTCTCATGTTCTGTTCTTATGTTCCCGAGTCACAGGAACCCAGCCCGCAAGGCCTACCAGGGGACAGCCCTCTCATCCGCTACAGCCCGGGTGGCTCATGAACACAGCCACCAGTTGTCTGTGGTACAGAAGCAAGGGCGGGAGCTGAACACTGTGTGCAGAGCTGGGCCACCCGTGGGGCCTGAGAGCCACTAAGAGAGAGCAGTGGTGTAAATACACACGTTAGCTCATCACGCACTGCTCGTTCTTCTCATAGCCTGTCAGCTTCCCTCTGCCAGCCCCTGCCCGCTAGTCGACTCTTCTTCGTTACAATATTTCAACAGTAAAGACTGTACTGTCCTCACGCTCCATCTCCCCCAGGCTCCGGTCCCCAGCTCAGCCCTGCTCCGTTACAGATGCTCCCCTACAGATTTCCACTTGTCTATGAAGACCTAGGGGGTCATGGTGGATGATTGGCTGAGCGTGGGCTCCCATGGTGATGCTGTGGCCCCAAGGGTTAGTGCGATCATTGGCGATACAAACAGGAAAGTCTCAAATAGGAGCAGAAAGGTCATTTCACCTCCGTATTTGGCACTGGGGCGACTGCTGCTGGAACACTGGTAAATTGGAGAGGGTTCGGAGAAGAACCATGAGAATGATTAAAGGATTAGAGAACCTGCCTTATAGTGATAGACTGAAATGGCTTAATCTATTTAGCAGAACGAAGAGAAGGTTAAGGGGTGACTTGATCACAGTCCGTAATTACCTCTGGGGAACAGAAATCTGACAATGCAAAGGCTGGATGATCCAGCTAGATAAATTCAGGCCAGAAATAAGGTCACATATTTAACAGCCAGGGTATATAACTACCGGAACGATTTACCAAGGGTTGGGGTGGATTCTCCATCACTGACAATCTTTAAATCAAATGGGATGTTTTTCTAAAGGAGAGGATCTAGTTCTCTGGCCTGTGAGATACAGGAAGTCAGACTAGCTGATCGCATTGGTCCCTTCTGGCCTAGGAATCTGTCAGCGGGTTGAGAAACGAGAGCCTTGACAACCGCACTTTGTGACTGAAGTGCCCAGGGGACGGCGGTGATTCAGATCAAGCAAAACGAAAGAACGCAAGGAGACCGGAGAAAGGCATTGTTCTCACTTCAGAGACACTGACGACGTCAGGTGTCATGTCATAGGAAAGTGACTCAGACATTAAACACATCGTAATACTTTGCAGCACCTTCCATCTGAGGATCGTAAAGCCCTTGAGAGACATCAGTTTGTCAAACCTCACAACACCCCTGTGAGGTAGGTATTATTACCCCCATTTTACAGATGGGGAAACTGAGGCACAGACTGGTGCAGCGAGTTGGCCAAGGCCACATAGTGAGTCAGTGGCAGAGTTGGGAGTAGGTCTCCCTGGCCCCCTGCTCTCACCACTGGTCCACACTTCTTCCCCCTTTTCATAATAAAACATTAGCAGCTCAGAAAGCAACCACATGGCTTACACCATATGATGGGCACAAAGCATGTGGCTGGGGAACCGCTCCCTGAAATAGCCGTGCAGCTGAAACCCCGTTGCCACACGTGCCGCATGAGAGAAGCGCTCCCAGCTGGCTCGTCTTCAGAGCAACTTATTCTGCGGGTTCTCCACGATTGTCACGGAGGAGGCCGGGGAGGGTGACCATAAGGATCCTCCAGGGATACGCCAGTCAGACATCCCACCGCTAGGTGGCGCCGTTTGAGTCGGCAATAGCATGGTCCCCCCGGGACGCGTGGCTCGCCGGCGCCAGCTGCGGTAATAACGTCCAGCATTGGAGTCTGGTGGCGAGAGAGGCGCGCCATGGAGGAGACGGTTGCTAGGTGCTGTCTTGGGGCTGGTCACCAGCCTCTTCCATCAGTGCTGGCTGCGTAGGAGAGCCAGATCTGCTCCTTCCCAGCCCAGCAGGCACAGCTGGGAAGGAGCAGAGTCTGGGTGATTCCCCTGGCAGGCAGCTGATGCGTCACGGTTAACCCCGCAAGCTGCCCACCGTACCACTTTCCCCTCCCCCGCACCCTCCCCCCTATGTGCAGAAACATTTTCCCTCGTATAAAAATAGTCCTTTGGTATCCAAAAGAGCCCCGTCGCCCGCAGTAGTGCAAATGAGGAGAACCAGTTCGGGGAGCACATTCCTCTTGCTTTGTCCACGTTTGTCATTTCTTAAAGGGGATGGAGGCGGACTGGACTTTGAACCCCGGGACGGGCCTAATGGAGAGAAGGAGAAAAACACCAGGTTTGAGAGAGCGGAAACCAACCAGCCATTGTGCAGCTCTCGGCACTGAACATCAAGCTCCAACTCACGCCTGTGCAGAAAGACGGCTCGCGGCCCAGGCCCCACCCAAATCCTGCCGACGCCGGGGTCTGGCTTGTCTGCTGGGACTGTAACCCTTCGGGGCGCCCCCTTGTGTTTGTGCAGCCCCTAGCAGCATGGGGCCACGTTCCTGGCTGGCCCTGAGGCACTGCCGTAATAAATATGATTACCACTGAGATGCCAGCGCTCTGATATGGGTCCTATGGCCTTGCCAGGAAGGGCAATATTACTGAGGTCCCATTTGACGTACCGCATGGGAATGAGGCCCAGAGTGACTAAGAGGATGTCTACACTTCATTGTAAACCTGGGTCTGTGGAACCTGGGCTTGTGGACTCTGTTTCCAAGCCCACGCTTGAGCGTCCACACCACATTGGAAACTTGGGCTTGGACCCAGGTCTCCCGGCCATGCTAGTGTGTCCACACAGCGCTGCATCCGCACTGCACAATGACCAGGGCTTGGACCCAAGCCACAGCAGGACTCACCCCTCTAGCTGTGTCCTGGGACCTGGAGCCTAAGCGCTTGTGTCCCCGAGTCAGACTGATTTGTTTGTGGACAGAAGGGGGGCTTGGCTCAAACCTGAATCAGAGCCCAGGCTTAGGCCAGGTCTACGCTCAAAAGCGAAGTCGACCCAACCACATCGCTCAGGGGCAGGAAAAACCCGCACCCATGAGCGACACAGTTCAGCCGACCTGACCCCCCGCAGTATAGACAGCTCTGGGGCAATGATGGAAGAATTCTTCCGAGCGAGCTATTGGCTCCTGGCGTGGTGGATTACCTACGCCAATGGGAGGCCCCTCCTGTCACTGCAGTGGTAGCGTTTCAAGTGCAGACATGCCCGTAGTGTGGAGTGGAGACACATGGAAAGTGATGTGCCCAAGGTCACAGAGTGAGTCTGTGGCAGAGCAGAGGATTGAACCTGCAGTTCCCGCTCCCCAATCTGGCCTGTTAACCACAAGGCCATCCTTCCTGCTGGCAAGGCAAGCTCCTGCCACACAGTGCAGCGTCAGGGGGACGGCTGGACCCTGCAGGAAAATCCTGCACGTGCCACCGCCACCCCCGCCCCCCAGCCCTTCGGGTCTCTGGGCACAGCCTGGCAGGTTGCGGGCAGCTCAGGCTGAAGGAAAATGCCGTCTGACTGTACAGAAATTTCCCATGCCACAGCCCCTTTGCCCGGGCCTCTGAGCGCAGCCCCTTCCCTGCCAGGGGCCTCTCAATCAGCGAGAACTCGCTCACCCTTGCCCCACGGTGCCCCTCCAGCCGCACAGAGCATTTACTACCCCCCATAGTGCTTCCTCAAGCATCCAGCTCCCTCCTCCCGACTGCCCCCCGGACCATTCCCCTGGACCCCGCTCAGCCCCAGCCCCCTCCTCACCGGCAAACCGACTGTCCCCTCGGGCACTCCATCAGGCTCTCTTTGCCCAGACTTCCCCCGTCACCACAAAGTGCTGCCTCCTGGACCAGTCACCCGGCACCCCTCAGCCCGGGAGACTCACTGACTTGGGCCCTCTCAAGCCCCACGGACCATTTGCCTGGTTCCAGGAGGTGCCAGCCGCCGGCTCACTGTTGTTTCACACTCGTCAGCGCTCAGTGCTTTAGAGGCTGCCTGTAGTTCCTCCGTTACTGCCGTAGCAAGGGAATGGGGCATGTCTGCCACACCAGGACCCTGCTCTCTACAACGGCGGGGCAGGGGGGACCTGTCCTGGTGGCCTCAGCCCCAGTGCACTGAACCACGAGATCCTGCCAGGACGAGCCGAGCTTCGAGCTTTACTCTGGACTTACTTGGTTAGGTACCTGGCAGAGCTGGCCCCTGCCGCCTTGAAGTTGGTGGGAGGGACCGTGACCAGCAGGGTCCGTCCCGGTGCCGAGGGAGGTGTCTTGGCCAGGAGAGGGCTCCCAGGCAGAGGCCGGCGAGGGGGGCCGTGCTTTGGGACGATCTAGAGGAGACCACGGTACAAGCAGGTGTCAATCCAGCTGATTCCCTGTCCCAGGAACAATCCCCAACTGCCCACAACGCGGCCTCCCCCAGGACAGAGCTGGGGCTGCTGGGGACTAGAAATGGGATATTGGTGTAGAGGTTGTGCCCCAGGGGACCCAGGCAGACTTCAAAGCCTCTCTTGCTGCTGTATATCGCTAGCTCTGCCCACCACTGCAACACAGCCACCTCTTGGGGGGGACCCAGCAGCACAGCACCTCATTGGAAAGAGCCACAGAGGCAGAAATCCCTTCTCGGGGTGGCTAGGGGTGGCGGCCCCGGGGCAGAGTCCTGTTCCGTGGACAGACAGGCCGCCAGCGTGGCAGCCTCTGGGGCTGTCCGCCACCAGCCCCGGGTGCACAAGGTGGGTCTGAACCCAGGCCCTTGGGATCTAAAACCATGAGCCTCTACCACTGGAGCTAGTGTCAGCTCAGAGGCAACGCATGGCCTCACCCCTAGAGGGGGACAAAGAGACACCCAGCGGTAGCCTGGGTCCCAGCAGCATTGAATGGGTCCCGGCTCATTGGGGTGGGAGAGGACACCTCATCGTACACCAAGAGGGACTGACACAGCAACCAAACCCTTGTGCGTTGGGGAGCGACCAGGGAAACTCACCACAGGGGTCCTCACGGGGCTGCTGGGAAGAGGCTTCTTCGGAGGCAGCAGCTTGGGTTGGGAGCTGATCACTTTGGCCGGAATGACGGGGGATTTGCCGCCAGGAGGCGGCGGCCTGGACGGCTTGAGGTCTCGGTGGGGCTGAGCGGCTGGGCTGGGAGCTGGGCGAAGGGGGTGGACAATGCTGATGGGCTGGGAACCATTCGACTTGAGGGGGAAGATGCCCCTAGCTGTCTGCAAGGCCGGAAGAACAAACAAATGGAGTCAAACCTAAGGCCCAGGTCCCCGGTCACTGGGAGGGGACTACCCTCCGCAGGCACCCAGCAGTTCAGTGCCTACGTGTTCCTCTGCTCTGGTGCGGGTCAGTACTCAACTGTTCCCGCCTCTTCTCCTTCCCTTCTCCCTCATGTGACTGAAGGCCACGCTCAATCTTCGCAAGCAGAGTGGAACATAGCGCCTTGGGACTGTCGCCCCGAGAGAGAGACTAGGAATAGGGACTACCTTGGAAGTATCCAGCCCAGATTTTCCACCAGACCCAGTGCATTCTGGGAGAGGACAGGAGCAATATTCCCTCTAATTTTTTCCATCCATGTGTGGAATATATTTTGTTACATGCACCGAGGTATGTGCGGATGTGCGCCACCAGGAGAAACAAAAAACCTAGATATAATATATATATTTTTAAAATGTTAAATAGGGATAAATTACTCTAGCCAGGACAGGTTAGGTATTCTAGAACTCACTACTCAAAGAATTAAATTTAAGTGTAAGAGAAATAAAATGTATGAAATGCACAGAAAGTTTCTGAGAGACGCCCTGCACTGTCTCTTGAAGGCACTCAATGAAAGCTCTCCTGAGCCCTGTCTCCCCTCGCTGGCTCTGCGGATATGGGGTACATGGGCGGGGCAGGGGGGGTGAGAGAGACAGACTGTGTGATGATCTGGCTGATGGGGAAGGCTCAGAGACTGTGCGCTGTCTCTTTAAGAAAGACATACTCACTCACCCATCACAGTTCAGGCCTCAAACCGCAGCAATTCCAAGTCCTGAGCCAGGCCGTCCCCTCTCCTACTCTGCGGAGATGGGGTACAGGGGTGGGAGGAGGGGGAACACCCTGACGTCAGCATCTCCCTCCCACCGCACTCGGCACACCCAGGAGGAGGGTCCCGGGAGCAGCTGCAGGAGCAACACGGCTGCAAAGCAGCGGGAGGAGGGACACCTGAACACATGCCATCGGATGTGTGCGCTCTGCTAATCAGCCGCAGGGCACTTGAATCGTTCCTGGGCGGCCGCCCAGCTGTGCAGCTTAGAGGGCACACAGGACAGGAGAGTTGCGGGCTCCAAGCAGCCGTCCAGCCGTCCCTAACCCCAAGGCGTCCTTCCACCATACTGATTCCAAGTGCCAGCGCTGGAACAGAACGACAAGCGGCGACGCTGTCCACAGTCGCCGAGATTCAAAGTAAACTCCTGGCTTTGATCCATTAAAGGAGAGTCATTTGCCACCTCTGATAAGCGGCACCTTCGGGATGTCGTTCTAACCTGCCACCACTGCCCACCCCCCACCTTTGCCAGGTTGTCCCGGAGAAGATGGGACTTAGGGGAATGGTTCAGAAAGTGAACCACTGTTCAAAACGCAGCGGTGAAAAGCAAATCAGAAGGAAGAGGCCTTGGTGGGAAAAGGAGCCACGTGATTGGATTAGAAGGGTCTTGTCATTATGTATGAGAGCATAACCTATTTTAGCTGGGTTATGAGTGGCTGGAAGCCTTCAATTAATGTAATAGTCAGTCAAGCACCAGCCAAGTTGCAGATTCTTGGCCCAATTCTGGTCTCTGTTACGCGGCTTTCTTTCTCAAAGCTCTGCTCTAGGAATTATCGTGGGGCAGTTCCCCAGCCTGCGTTACACAGGAGGTCAGACTAGATGATCACAACGGTCCCTTCTGGCCTGGAGTCTGTGGTATAAATCTGGAGTGACTCTTGGCTTCAGTGGGGTTATTCTGGATTTAGAGCAGAGCAGAATCTGGCCCTTCAACCATGATGCTAATGAAATAAACCATGGCCACATACACCAACCCTCCAAAGTTGTCAGCCGGTGCAGAACCCACACCTCCAGCACCAATAAAACTACACGCCTTGCCTACTTGAGCTCCAGGAATCACATTGTTAGTGTCTGCCGGGTAGCAGATTTAGAGGTGTTGGAGTCAGCCGCTAAAGAGAGACGTGAGCACAAACACACGAAGCTGGTGCACCACTCTAGGCAGAGGAGACATAAACTTGGAGCAATCGGTCATGCAAAGGCCCCCACTTACTTTGTTAGTGCTGTTGGCAGCTTTACCAGAGGAGGAAACATCCTGCAAGGTGAAAGCCGCGTTCAAATGGCCCCCGTTTCCCTTCTGATGGATGGCGCCGTTCCTGCCCCCAATCAAAAACAGAAAACGCCGGACATAAAGAAAGTCAAACGCTTTGCAATTGCTGCCCTCACTGGTGTTGGCTGTCAGCCCCGGAATGGACATGGGAACCAGAAGGGGAAGCGAGTATGGTTACATGGCTGCTTTTAATACCCAAGGGAAGGTAGCATTTTCACGGAGGCATATTCTGAACGTGCCCTGGATGTAAATCGACAGATGGGGCTGGTTTCCTTTGCTGTTAACTGTGTTTTTAAATATTTGGGTGGGGCTCAGAGAGGAGGAGGATGGGGACCTGACGGAACACATGAAATGCTGAACTGATCTGGTTTCTGGTTTGACACAGAAAACTTTTGCAGTCCCCTAGGACCAGATGACGACACCTGGATGGAGGTAGCCAGTGTTCGTGTAGGATGCACCTTAGTCTAATGGATCATTGCTGCTCAGTGCTTTGGAGGGAGATGCAAACTCCAATTCAGCCAGGAGAAAATCCCTTCCCAACCTCAAATCTGGCTATCAGTTTAACCCCAGGCATGCAAGCAAGAATCACACACTCTGATCTCACATCAGCGTATACTGCAAGTAACTCCACCGAAGTGACTCCACATGAAACTGGCATTAGATCAGATCAGAGGTAGACCCAGATTTTTAGGCATTGCAGGTGACTGTCAATGGGATTTTGGCTCCTAAGTGTCTAAATCCCTTCTAACAATGAAATTTAGGCTCCTAAATCAGGTAGGCATTGCAACACTGAGCGCCACAGTGCCTAAATGCCTTTAACAATCTGGGCCCTAAGCTCTATACCGTTAACCCCACCCATTCTCTCCCCCAGTGAGTCAAGGTGCAGAATCAAATCATCGTGGGTGTCGCTGGGTCCTCAAGGGGGAGATGGTCTCTGGCTCCATCAATCGCTCACCTGCCCGTCTCCTGGCTTTTCCTCGTGGTCTTTATCCATTTGCTCAGGAGTGAGTTCTTCCGTCTGTAGCACCAGTAGATCCCCAAAGCTGTGGCGGGGAGGATCAGCAGGAAGATGACCAGCATGGCGATCAAGATGGCTTCATGGTCTGGGGAGGAGGGGGAAGTGGAGAGATGAGGAGGGGGCTTGAAGTTGTATCAGCCCCTTACACTGGGGGTGGAAAACACCCGCTCCCATTTGACAGGCGGACCTCAGAGCACTTCGGCGTAGAAACGCCGCGATCTGCGTCTAGCCCCTTCCGTTGAGTGCACCTCGTAGGGGCTCACAGCAAACCAGTACACAGCCGCCTTCTCTGACCACCAGCGCCGCAAACCCAGACCCCGATACCTTTGCTGTAGGCCTAACCTGCAGGCGCAAAACGGCATGTCTAATGTATGCCCCCCCCCCCCCGGGGCAAACTGGAGTTGCAGGCACAGCCTGCACACCGGGGACCCGAGAAGTTGCCAAAGAGGCAGCTGTGGGGTAGCATTGCCAACAGCTCTCCCTGTGTGTGGGGAGAACAGCTGGAGATGCCGAATGAACCTCCCCACGTGGGTACTGTCCCATCAGCTCGCCGTTCTTGTGGCGCAAGAGAGCAGCTCCATGCTTCCTTCACTCCCACCTCCCATCCCAGGGAGCGGCTCGGCTTTGAGCTGAGGGGGGTGTGGAAGCCCTGGGGCCACCTCCCCGCCCTCGTCTACCTCAGGCCTGACATCAGAACTCACTGTCGTGCTGCACGGGACCGCTGTCCACGCTGCCCCCCAGGCCTGGCTTCTCGCAGTACGGGGGGGCCCAGCCGGCATCGCAGTGGCAGTTCTTGTTGCTGTTACAAACCTACAAGTGCAGGAAGAGGGGGGGGGTCAGGGCCAGGGCAGAGTAATGGTCAATAGCAGACTGGTAGGAGGACAAAGCACAAGGAGATGAGAAGCCGGTGACGAGCTCCCACAGGCAACCAACGCCAGAGGGGGCCCAACTGGGGAAGGAGGCGTACCCACGGTTAGCTTCAGCCTTCCCAGGCGTCACCTCCCCAGGCGAGCTCTCACAGCAGTGACAGCCGCACTGGAAGAGCTCCGGACCATCCGTCTAGGTGCCTCTATCACACCTCTCACGGCAGCCTTGGCGAGCCCACGGTTCTGTCCAGGGCATCTGTAATCATGGGATCAAACCAACGTCCTCGTTGGCTGTCCCTTTCCCCCTTCCAGCGGGGTGAAGTGCTCGAGCTGTCTAGCGGCCCATCCAGACATCTGCAGGTCCAGTTCCGTGGACTTCAGGGAGGCAATGCTCTGACGTCGCATTGCTAAACCAACTGTGCTCTGGAAGCCCGTTTCTCCACCCACGCTCAGGAGGGGGGATTTTCGCCTGCAGAACTTTGCACTCCACCCAAACCGCTCCAAGTTCACTCACCCTCTACTCATCAAGGAGTCCTTGGGGGCCTGCTGGGAAGATACTTGTATACCAGAAGCTCTGGATTCATGTCACAGGGAGCCCTGCCTGTGGAGATCAAATCTTCATCCCCTCTAAACTTTTCATCAGAATGGCTCCTTCTGGCCTATGAATCTTCCTCCTGCTCGAAGGTCTCAGCCGGGCTTCTGAGCATGGCTGGGCACTAAGCTACGACAGGAATCTGAACCACGCTCCCTCCCAAACTGAGGCGAAGTTCAGATCTAGAACCCAGGTCCTTAGAACCCAGGTGATCCAACCTGCTCCCCTCAAACTCGGCTCCTGACTCAAACAGACTGACTCAGCCCCTTCTCTACTGGACATGGATGCAAAGGGCAGGTGGCCACTTGGCTGTGAGATGCTCGCCTCACTGGAGAACCTGAGCCAAACTCAGGACTCCACCAAAGCTCGGGGATGGTTACTCACCCCGTGGCCATGGCACTGGGAAATGCACTTCTCCAGCTCAAAGAAGGAAGCGTTCTGGCACCTGCGATCCTTGCAGACCTGAGGGAAATGAGCGAGGGGGGAGTTAGTGAGGAAGGACCTAGGAGTTCAGATAGGAAAATGTGACCTTGCACTCCTCAGCTAGGACCACGGGGACCTCGACAACTTGGGAAATAGAGCCTCCAACTCCAGTCACTCCACAGTTGTAACATGCAAACCCCAATAATATCTTACACTCTTCAGACCTGATTAGCGAATCCAGTCCAGCCCGCACTGCCTTCTCCCTTCCCCGTAAGCGCCGGCTGCGTCCCCAGAGCACTTCCCCAAGGGCTCAGCCAGGGCGATATTCCTGGCACGCCAGCAGCAAGGGTCCACTGCCCCACTTTGGAAACTCATTCCTAGTCTGACCTGGCTGACTTCCTTTGTGAAGCGCGTGGAGATGCAGGGTGAGCAGTACTGCCCCAGGGCAAGCGATCACCCCCTGTTGGGGTCAGGAGCCGTCCCAGCACAGAGACTCTCCGCAGCTTGGTTCTGTCCCACCCGGAGGTGCCCTCAAAAGTTCTGCCCCTTCCGCAAACCTGGTGCTTAATAGCTCCATACGCCCTGTTAATGCATCATCCCTTTGCCGCCCGTATCCCGGCTCTACTCGGGCATCGCCCCTTCGCCCCCCGTATCCCGGCTCTACCCGCCCGGCCAGGGCATCGCCCCTTTGCCGCCCGTATCCCGGCTCTACCCGCCCTGCCAAGGCATCATCCCTTCGTCGTATCCCGGCTCCACCCGCACTGCCAGGCATCGCTCCTTCGCCGCCCGTGTCCCGGCTCTACCCACCCCACCAGGGCATCATCCCTTCGCCCCCCATATCCCAGCTCTACCTGCCTTGCCAGTGCATCACCCCTGTGCCACCTGTATCCTGGCTCTACCCGCCCTGCCAGGGCATCGCCCCTTCGCCACCCGTATCCCGGCTCTACCCTCCCTGCCTGGGCATCGCCCCTTCGCCGCCCGTATCCCGGCTCTACCCGCCCTGCCGAGCATCGCCCCTTCGCCTCCCCGTATCCTGGCTCTACCCGCCCTGCCGGGCATCACCCCTTCACCCCCCATATCCCGGTTCTACCCGCCCTGCCAGGGCATTGCCCCTTCACCGCCTGTATCCTGGCTCTACCCGCCCTGCCAGGGCATTGCCCCTTCACCGCCTGTATCCCGGCTCTACCCGCCCTGCCAGGGCATTGCCCCTTCACCGCCTGTATCCCGGCTCTATTACTCTTAACCCTTCTTCTCAGGCCAGCCCTTTGGCTCTCCCACTCTTCCCTTTGCTATGGAACTTTCCGACGAGGACCCGCCCCCACCCCCCACCCCACCCCCCGCACACACAGACGTGTGGGTCGTGCTGTGATGTTCGGCACTGGAGGGACGGGATCACATTGACAGCCCAGAGACTGGAGGCCTGTTTCGGGCCCCCCGCCAGCCTTGATCTCTCCCACCACCGGGCCTGCACCCTGACCTGCAGGGACCATCTCTCTGGGTCTGGAGGGAGCTGGCCCCTCGGCCCAGCCAGTCCTGCCTGCCAAGCAGGAGGCTAACTCATGCCCTCTGTGGCAGTGGGGGCACCAGATCTCTGAAGCCCGTACTCAGGCCAATTCCCTTCAGCTGCAGTGGCGAAGAGGGTCAGGAGCCCCTCTGTGTCTTGCATCGTCCTGCCCAAGGCTCTGCTGGGTGACTCTGCATGAACCAAAGGCCACAGCGTCCTCCGACCGTTTGAGGGGGTGTGGGAGGAGGGGGCACTTACCATCCCATCCCCGCACTTGGTCCCCGTCATCACCAGGCCGGGGTCCGACAGGTCCCCCTCGTCGTCCTTGGTGGCGTACATGAAGGTGCCTCTGCATTTCACCTCCCGCCCGTTAAAGCGGATGGTGGTGTCCATGGAGACGGTGTTGGTCCCCTTGGGTTTCCTGGCCGAGCTCTGGCACTGAATCTTGCCGCACTTGGCGTCTCTAGGAAGAGAGGCACCGAGGTTACCGAACGGGCCCTCGCTGGTCGAGCTGAACTCGTCGAGTTATTGGCCCCCCCGCGGTATCAGAGAGGAGGGAGGGAAGGAGAAACCAGGTTCTGGCTCAGGGAAGCCTAGACACCGACGCTGCTGGTGTGAGGATCAAACTCAGACTCTTCGGCACCGGGAGTAAATGGGGCCTCCCCCTGAGCTGCCGGGGATCTCCAGGAGCTAGGAGTGAGCAGCAGGCTGTTACCACAGGAACCAGCTGCTAGGGGGAGCCGTGATCACACTCACTAAGCTGGTGTGTTACACGTGTGGGTGTGAATCCCCAGCGCCCACCTCCGGTCACATTTCACGTAATGCCCCTGGCTGTCCTTGCCGCAGTTCCCATACGTGTCGCCGGCCGTGTTGACATCTTGGAAACAGGCATCGGGAGCCGGCCAGGCGCCTGGAGGGGAGAAGAATCAAGGCGGCATGAGCATTCCTGCGTGCAGATCCCACGCCGTGGGGATGGCAGGGGTGTAAAGCCAGGGCGGGGCCGGAGGCTCAGAGGTTGGAGCCGTGTGGAGCAGCCTCTGGGTTTGCAATGCAGGGCTGGAAACTCCCGGGGTGCAGGGTCTCCCCGGAGACGCCTGCGGCTCCAGCGTCAGACAGCGATAGCACCCTGGCTGCACAGAGGCAGCATGGAGACTCGGGGGGGGGAGGGGAGGGGCAGGGAGGGGAGGAGGATTCGCTTTTGCTCTGTGGCTTCGCGGTGGAATTCAGTCTTCAGGGCCATTTCCCCTGCTGCACTGCAAGACTTATCCCTGCCGCAGTACACAGCCCAGTCCAGTAGGTGGCACTAACAACACGCTAACGGGAAGATTCTCCATCCGTATGGGAAAACGGGACAGGCCGAGAGCAAAGTCTCCCACCTGCTAATCTGCAGCCTACAAGCCAGGCTCCCCGCTCCGCCCGTACTTGAATGACCAGGGTGCAGTGGCTGCGTATCGCTAGCGTGTCTGCACTGGCGTGCGGAGCCGGCGTGCCTGGGCAGCGCATGCATGTGGATGCAGGGTGCACCTGGTGTGCGTATGCAGCATGCACTGGGATGGAAGGGTGCGTGTCCAACGGAGGGGCCGCCCAAATACCCAAGCCCCAGACCTAATGCAGCCAGAACTGCTCTGGGAAGCAGCAGCCCCAGACTGGAAACACGCCGCCACTTGGGCCTGAACATCGCAGGCTCGTCCTGACCATCGCAGGCTCGTCCTGACTGCAGGGGAACATCGTCGGACGCACCGCCTGGGGCAAGCTCGGAGCCGTTCGGTGTGTCCCACCCCCCCCGCCAAAGACAGGCACGAGCCCTGCACACCGAGCGAGAGTGAGGAATGGAGGGGGAGGGAGCCGGGCTCACCTGGGCCCCAGAGCTGCACGCACTGCTGGTGATGAGTCAGACACATGCCGTTGCTGCAGTACGCCTCCCCGCCGGCGCAGGCCGAGCCATCCAGCAGGTACACGTTGCCGGGGCAGTAGGGCGAGGCCCCCGTGCAGTATTCAGGGAGGTCGCAGGATCCGGCCGGCTCCCTGCACATGGTCCCGGCTGTCTTCAGCTGCCAGAGCCAGAGGAGAAGAGAGACATTTGCACCTTGGTCCCATCAGCCACAAAAAACCCTTTAGCCCCGCGCGGTAGCCACACCTGTTAGCCTGGTCCCCACCGTCACCCCTGAGCCCCCCAGTGCGGTGGGTTGGAGGCTGACCAGCAGCTGGATTGGCCATTCTATCAGCACTGGGATTGGCCCTGCTCCCTCGTGAGCCTCCCGCCTGGGGCCCAAACGCTGCTCCTCACAGCCAGCGAGGGCAGGAAATCCAGGCCTCCTGCCTCCCAGCCCCATGCGGGAGCAGCCAGCAGGGCTTCCCGAGGCCCTCCAGAGCCAACCCAAGGGCAGATTGAGGTAGAGGATTAAGCTGGGGCACGGCACACCCAACAGTGGGCTCCCTTCCTCAAACCCGATCTTACACAGAGCCATCTGCTCCCACCTCCCTCCCCCAGCCCGGCCCGGCTACCTGGCAGCTCTGACAGCAGTCCCCGTGGGCGCACTGGGCTCCGGCCTTCAGCGTGCAGTTGTGTGCGTTGCAGCAGGGGTTGGTGCACTCCTGTACGGGGAGAGCCAGCCACAGGGGTGAGTTGGCTACTTGGCCTCTCTCAAGCTGACCCTGGTCATTCCCTTCCCACCCTTCCACCCCCGCCCAGGGCTGGCTTCTGAGGACCCTCCCCAAGATAGCTCTTCAGCCCTCCTTCGGGGTTGAAGCACTTCACCGAGGTCAGTATTATTACCCCTATTTTGCAGATGGGGAAACTGAGGCACGAGGTGGGGCGCAACTTGCCCTCCCAGGCGAGTGGCAGGACCCCCGGGCTAACAGCCTTTGGCCTGAACCTCGTCCCGGTTCACACTGATGACACACCATAGGGTAGCGCCCAGAGGCCCCGGCAAGATCAAGGCCCCACTGTGCTAGGTGCGGCACAAACGCATTGTAAGCGCTCAGAGTCAGAGGGTCTGATCTAAAGCCCACTGAATTGAACCGAATCCCTTCCCGCTTCTGTCCCCTGTTCACTCCCCCTCCATCCAGGGGGTGTTCTGCCCCTGCTCTGTCCCGCCTGGGGCACAGCAGATAACGGCGCCAACGGCGCCCCCATGGGCACAGCTCAGTTCTCCTTGCAGAGCCGAGAAACCTACCCCCAGCTCCCCACAGTCGCACTCCTCCCCGTCCTCCAGGAAGCCATTTCCACACTTCTTGCCCACCACCAGGTCTTTGGTGCTGGGCATGTTGAAGAGACACATCCCGCCTCCCTTGTGGAAGTAACTCTCCAGCTGTCTCTTGCTACAGAAGCTGAACACGCGAGGGAATGGGTGGCTGCGGAGTGGGAGAGAGAGACGGGGAGATATTTAAATCGGAGCAATCAGTTCCCAGGGGGGAGAAGGAAAGGCGCAGACACACCTGAGCCTGGCAGCCCGAATGCCTGGGAATTAGAGAGCACAGGGTCTTCAATGCACATGCAGTGATATCCAGCCCTAGGCACCACTTAATCCCTGTTTTGAAACAGGCCCTGGGGCCAGACTGCATAGTACTGGAGAGTAATGACCGAAGCATCTTCCAGAGCAGGGTCACTTGGGCAAGCAGCCTGTGAAGTGCTCAGGTATTGCAGTGATGGGGCCAGAGAAGTTCCTACAGTAGATTATTCTTGGGAGAATTCTGCGCCATTGCACAAGTGCAGAATTAATGTCACCCACAGATTTTACTCTTTCCCCGCAGAAAAATTGATGGCAGTGGGAGGTGGGTCTGGTTTGAGTGTCAGGAGCAGCTGCGGGAGATGTAAATCGCCACCTCAGGGGTTGGGGCTGGGCTCTCTCCGCCCCTCTCACTCACTATCGTGGTGCGCCCAGAGCTGGGGAGGGGCTGGGCTAGGGATGCCATAGCTGGTGGCTCCTACTGTGCACCCAGGGGCCAGGGCCAGGTCAGAGTCATACCCACCTCTGGATAGGTCCCCCAGCTACAGGAAGCCCCCCCAACGACCCCCCGCTTCCTGCCCCAATCGCTCCCCAGCTGCGGGGGGGGAGGGGTCACCGTATGAGGAACTGCCCCCTCTTCTTCCCAGCCCCCATGCATCTGGATCACCCCACACTCAGAAGCTCCCCCCCCCCACCCCTCCCTCCACCTGGGCCGCCCCACCAAGGCCCCCACATCCAGACTCCCACCCCACTGAACCCCAACCAGCTGCAACCAAACCCCCACCCACCTCCCAGGCTCCCCCCCGCTGAGCCCCAACCACCTTCACCTGGATCCCCCACAGAATCCCATCCCCTGCACCCAGAACCCCACAACGAGCCCCTGTGCTTCCAGAACACCCCTCCCCCAGCACCTGGACCCCCCACTGCGCCGCCCGCACCCGGATTGCTCCACACAGAACCCTCTCACCACACCTGGCTCCCCCCCACACTGAGCCCCTCCGCACATGGCTCCTGCCTGCCCACGCCTGGATCGGGGGGCAAGACTGGGCGTGCGTGTGAGACTCCGTCCCTCTCGCTTGCTATGGAGCCATAGAGATGTGCTAATATGCCTAGTAAGGAACCTATTTGTCAAAAACCATTCCCAGAATCTTTTTTGTTGTTTGTTACAGGCATTTTGAAATAAATTACCTAAATCAGCGGTTCTCAAACTTTACCAACCCATTTTGGTAAAGGATCCCCATTTTGATTTAAAGAATTTTTGCGGCCCCTCAAGGACCCCACTCAGTCCCAGGCCCTGCCCCCACTCCACCCCTTCCCCCAAGCCCCCCCCCACCTCTTCCTGCCCCCGCTCCTCCCCCTCCCTCCCAGTGCCTCCTGCACGCCGCTGAACAGCTGTTCCCCAGTGTGCAGGAGGCACTGGGAGGGAGGGGGAGGAGTTGATCAGCGGGGCCCCTGGATCGCCCTCGCCCACGGAGCCCAGTTTGAGAAACACTGACCTAAATAACTGAAAACGATGTGATTGTGTTGTGCTATTTTGACAAAGCGAATATTGTGTGCAGAAATTGGAATTTTTTGGTGCAGAATTGCCTCAGGAGGAGCAGATAGATAGAAACCCCTTTCGGACGAGACCCGTGAAGCAGGAACTTGGCTCTTCAGAGGGGAACGGCTAGTGAGTTTGCCTGTTCGGTGAATCTGTGGCTGGGTCCGTACAGAAACCCCCGGTGTCAGCGAAACCACCCGAGGTAGGTGTGGGGAGAGCGTGCCCCGCCTCACCACAGAAACACAAAGACTCTGGCTCTGAGGAACAGCAGCGCTTCTGTTAAATACCCTCCAGCCGCTGGAAAGAGACGTGACCACACGCGTGTGCAGGCCTGAATGGAGGGTAGCGGTAAAACACGCACCAGCTACTTCATGATAACTCAGACACGGCGCTCATCGCTATGCCGGACTCTGGGAAGGGCAGCACCCCTGGGGCCTGCAATGAACAAGGCACTCGGGGCAGCCGTGGCCAGACGCTCCCTTCGCCGACACCCTCTCACCCAGTGGCAGCGGCCATGACGCAGCCTCCTTGAGCCGGGGTGGCCTCCACGCAGCAGCCCTCGCTGTCGTGGCTCATGCCGAAGTTGTGCCCGATTTCGTGAGCCATGGTGGCGGCGGCTCCGATCGGCAGGTCCGAGTGGTCCTGGTGCAGAGAGGGGAAGGGACGAAGACAGCATCAGGGCCTCCGCCATCCAGGCCGGGGAAAGCAGCTCGGCTGGGATTGTTTCCCAGGGGGTGAGGAAAGCAGAGGATGCCCGTGGCACCTCAAGGCTAGTCTCCGCCTGGAATCCCAGCGCCGAGGGGCACGGGGAACCGAGATGCAGAATGGAGCCAGTCAGAGTCAGAGATCAGGGCCTAGATTTGGACCCAGAGCTTCCCATGGGGAGGTGTCAGATCCGGAATCGTGGTTCAGCCCCCTGTGAAATTCAACCCCAGTTCTGAGTTTCCCCAATTTCCGGGACATTTGGGTGCAGGGCTAAGGCAGGATTGTGTCGCACAGCTCAAGGGGGACCCCAGGATCTGGCCCCCCTGTGAACAAGCGCCAAGGCCTCTGACCACAGAGGGAAAGGGCTCCGGCTGACAGAGGAGCGAGCGCCGCTAAGCTCCGACCCTGGAGCCTACAGCTACTGACGCTGCTCAAGAAGGCCTGGGCCAGCGGAGGAGCGAGCGGCTCAGGAAACACAAGGCCGGGCAGATCTTGCCTACAAATTCCACGGGCACCGGCTCTGAAGGCTGCTAACTTGGCCCAGGAGAAGAGGGAGCAGCAATGACATAACCCCAGCAGGTGGGAGGAGGCCGGGGGGGGTGCCCCAGAGACCGAGGGGATAATGGGAACCCCCTTCTCCTTACCGCGCTCACACCTCCCGAGTTCTCTGCGCTGCACATCCCTTCCAGCGGGGCCATCCCAATGGTCGTCCCTCGGAAGTTCCCGCCGCTGTCCAGACGCGCACCGGAAACGAGAAGGGACGGGGGGGCTTGCGTTAGAGCGCCCTGGAGGCAGAGCGCTCGCCTGGGGAGACACCCACAGAGAAACCAGGGGACTCACGTCAACAGCTGGGCATTGTCGTGCTTCTTCCGAGACCTCAGCGCCTTCTTCCACTGCAGGAAGGACCACAAGGTGGCGTTGGCATCACTGGTGACCGTGCACTGGTCCCTCTCTGTCCACACTTCCAGGCCAACGAGGGCCACTTTGATATTCAGAGACCTGTAAAACTGAGCAAGGGGGGAAGATGACCAAGCAGTGCTTCACAGCTGGGCCTCCGGCGGACTCCTCTGGATTCAGACCACCTCTGCCACGCTTCCCTCCCCACCCCATGGGGCAGAGGGCGTCACGTGTTCATGTCTCACGTTGGTAGATGACACACTGGTTCTGTGAGTCCTAACCTGCCGTGATCCCGTAAGGGAAGAGCCGAACCTTAGCCCCGTAGTGGTCTGCACCCTGGACACGGTGGCTGGCTTGTGCCAGTGGGAGGCACCCAAACTGGACTGGCCAAAGGGCAGGGACCAGATGAAGAGCAGGTGTGCCACAGCCCTGCTCCTGCCCTAAGTCATGCTGGACAGCACAGGAAGGATTCAGACTCAGTGGCCCTGTGACTAAATCGAGACGCAACAACGCTGGGAACCTTGGGGACAGGCCAGCGGCGCCGTCTAAGGCAAAGGCTTGCCTGTCCGGAGCGGGGTCCTCAACTCAGGTCTCAGCGCTGTGAGCCTGGTGCCCGGGGACGCAAGGTGCTGTACACACGCGGTGCCACGCAGACAGAGAGCAACCTGCTCTGCCAAGGGCACCCGGGCGTTACCTTGTCCACGTAGTTGGCGATCTCCAGGATCCGCTGCTTCGTTTGGCCCAGGTTGCGATTCTGTTTGAGGAACTGGAGAGAGGGGAACAAAAGAGGGATTAGGCTAGGCAGGAGGGCGTATTTAAGTCCCTTCTTAAGCAAAGCTACTGAGGGACCTTGCTCAACAACCGCACGCGACTGGTGGGGGTGGATCTCACAATAACTTCAGCCATGGTCGAAAGAGATGGTGCCCGTTACCATCGCCCAAGACGGGGCGTCTGGGGTGGCCATGCCAGGCATTCAGGGGCTCTGCACATGGAACAACAGGGGGGTACAGCTATTTCTCTGGACCTCAGCAGCCACTGGCCCAAATGAACTCTGACCGCAGCAGGGACCAGAATGTGCCTTGGGGCACGCATGAGAAATCATTGGGTTAGGTTAGCTACCCCCAGGAGTGGCTCCTCCTCAGCGACTTCCTGCCCATCTAGCACCTCCAGCTCGGGCAGCTGGAAGGGAGGAGTTCCTGTCTGTTAGCGGAGCGTCCCATTATTCAGTGCCCTGCCCAGACACACGACATCGCCGCAGGCCCCTAACTGCGCCAACGCCTCCTCCAGACAAGGGATGAGCGTTCCCAGGCCTCTCCTTTGTGGAGAGCTGAACTGCCGGGAGATTTCCTCTTGTGCTTCACCCAGGTCCGCCTCGGGATCTATTGCACGGATTAGCATCTCGGGGACCATGCTGGGGACCGGCTGCCCACTGCCGCTCCCGTAACTGCCGGGCAACACTGCCGCCATTGCTCAGGTTGGCGCCGCACTGCCAGGACAGGAGCCCGTGCGTTTTTAGCTGCCTTGCCACGGGACTTAGCCATGGAAAGCCAGGGGGAGAAGCCAGAGCCACAGGGCCAGCTGACCTCTGCACACCGCAGCTTGAGAACCTGCGATTTAAATCTCTGGGCCCAATTCTCAGCTGAGGATGAGCGGAGAAGGGAGGGGGAAGAGAACCGGTTACAGCTCCCTGATCCCAAGGACTAGTCTGCACGGGCCTGGCGAAGGCTTGAGTACCCGAGGAGCTGCTCTAACACGCTACTGGCACTGGGTCTCTAACCGACCCTAAGCCAGCCGAGGACAGGTAGGACAGAGGCCTGCTCTGCCATTCCCAATCTCCAACATGCCCCCTACAGAAGCCAGGGGAATTCCCTGCTGGCTACTCACAGCCAGGCAAGAATCAGGCGCTGGGTGTCCCATTGTCAGCTCCCACACAAACAGGGCGTGGGAGGAGTTAGCGACGACTGCCCCTTGTTTAAAGGGACAGCGCCAGCATACGCAGGGCCTGAAGTGGGGACCTGGTACAAACGAGCTCTTACAGAACCGCACAGCAACCGGCACGCTGCCGCGATTCCTTTAATTTCAAATAAAAGGGTGTTTCTGCCTGGCAAGTGAGCAGCCGCCTGTGGCAGTTGCAGCCCAAACCCCATGGCCCTGGGAACCTCAGCGGGAAACTGAGTGTGCACCAAAGGGAAAGTGACTTCGCTGAGTTCCACTGGCCGAGCTGAGAGGGCTGCGAAGGATAAACACGAGGACAGAAGTAGTGCGAAGCCAACGGGGTTCCCAGGCCTCGATCTGTTGCAGCTGCTGAGGTGGGTGAGCCCCCAGGAGATGACGTCCTGTGCTCTCAGCACATCAGAACTGGGGACTAGGAACTCCTGAGCTCACATTCAGACTCCAACACTGACATGCTGTGTGTCCTTGGGCAGACACTGGCCTGCTCTGTGCCTCAGTTTCCCCACCTGTGACGTGGAAGGGATTAAAGCCTCATCTTGGGGTGAGGATTCATTTGCTCATGTCTGTCATGTGCTTTGTATATGGGAAGTCCTATATAAAATCCACCCCTCTGAGCTCTTCCAAGGCAGTGACTCAGGAACAGGGCACGGACAGTCGTGCTTCATCGAGCCAGGTGCCCGTCCTTTGACGCTGACTTTTACATACCCCCGCAGTCACCCCGTCTCTCCCAGGACTGATTTGTGAGCCTGATCATCGGAGTGTTAGACCCGCAATAGAAGTTTTTCTACGGGATGGGGAGCAAGCAGATACCGGACAGTGTTGGTATACGATACTTTGAATGCTTTTTTTCCATATTTTTCTCGGAACGTAAGATTGTTTTTGCACAAAGAGTTCTAATAGTCCTTGACCTTAAGTCCTTGCTTCAGTTGCTAACTTGCAACGCACACATTAATGTCAAGCCAGCGTCATTCATACCAGGCCTCAATGACCTAAACGGGGTAGGCAACCTATGGCACGCGTGCCGAAGGCAGCATGCGAGCTGGTTTTCAGTGGCACTCACACTGCCTGGGTCCTGGCCACCAGTCTGGGGGGCTCTGCATTTTAATTTAATTTTAAATGAAGCTTCTTCAACATTTTAAAAACCTTATTCACTTTACATACAACAATAGTTTAGTTATATATTATAGACTTATAGAAAGAGACCTTCTAAAAACGTTAAAATGTATGACTGGCACGCGAAACCTTAAATTAGAGTGAATAAATGAAGACTCGGCACACCACTCCTGAAAGGTTGCCGACCCGACCTATAACATATTACATGGATAGATATGAATCACAATGTATATTGATTTTTATATTATATATAAATCTCCCAACATTCTCCCTTCTTGATACATGATTAAATGCCATTCATTATTGTATCACTTTCTAATTTTGCAAGCAATTCAATTGTATATATTACTTGCTTTAAAACTTGTTGTTGCTTTTTTATTTGGCAGTATAAACATAGGTTAACAAAATTATTAATGCAAATATTATTACAGTAGGCTGTAGCATTACATTTAAAAGAGCTGTGACACTGGGAGATCATCATAATACATCTCTACCCCGATACAACGTGACCCGATATAAGACGAATTCGAATATAAGGCGGTAAAGCAGTGCTCCGGGGGGCCGGGGCTGCGCACTCCGGTGGATCAAAGCAAGTTCGATATAACACCGTTTCACCTATAACGCGGTAAGATTTTTTGGCTTCCGAGGACAGCGTTATATTGGGGTAGAGGTGTACCAATGAGAAATTACCAATTTTTTTTTATTTTAATATTTGACCATTGTGGGTTAAAATGTTTATATTTTTTAGCTGAGCAGACAGATACATTTTTTGCATATTGCCTGATTTTTTTGCTTTTAAAAACAATAAAAAAAATTAATTGGTAATGTATTTTTAAATTAAAAGGACCATTTTTTGGTTTTTAAACTTTTTTTTTTTTAAATAAAGGACCTTGGTAAATAATTGTATTAATAATGACCTTTGTGACATTACATTTACATGACTTAATTGGGCCTTTTATTGTTATACTTTTTTAAAATACACAAATACACCCATTGCCTAAATTAAACACTTTTGTGCCATTAGAGTCTAAATATTGCAAAGTACATTGGGGTTTTTTGGACCAATTTTTTTTCTTAGCAGTTTTCCAATGATTTTTTAAAAATTTTCAATTTAATAGAACAGTTCTTGTACCACAAAGTTTGAATTTATATAGACATAAAGACAGTCTGCAACATTTTTTTTAAGCAGATTACTAAGGCCTGGTCCCCACTAAGTCCCCACTTCGGACTAAGGTACGCAAATTCAGCTACGTTAATAACGTAGCTGAATTCGAAGTACCTTAGTCCGAACTTACCGCAGGTCCAGACGCGGCAGGGAGGCTCCCCCGTCGATGCCGCGTACTCCTCTCGGCGAGCTGGAGTACCGGTGTTGACGGCGAGCACTTCCGGGATCGATCCGGGATCGATTTATCGCGTCTTAACCAGACGCGATAAATCGATCCCAGAACATCGATTGCCTGCCACCGGACCCTCCGGTAAGTGAAGACGTACCCTAAGAGCGTTGACCTTTGCTTCCTGTGCTGAAGTTATACTTATAGAATCAGAAATAGTTTCCCCATTAATTTAGACAGCTGCATATCCTGTATATCTTTTAGCGTTCTTATGGTATGAGCTACCATTTGTAAACCAAACTTTCCCCGCCCCCCCAAGGCATAGCACTTTATTTACCGGGGGTGCTTTTTTAACTAACTTCGGTTCAGTTTTTGGAAGTGGGCATTTATGCTTCTTTCCTTCCGTCAGGAGGGCATAAGGTAACATTACTGCTTGTTTGTTATTTTTATAAGTAACTTTTTTGCTAGTTAACATTAAGGTCCATTTGGCCATTCTGGTATTTGATACTTTTTTTCCCCTGCAGTTTTTCTGATAAAATATACTTCGGGGCGAGTGAGGTGTTTGGAGGGGCTGTGCCAGTAGTCAAAGCAAAAGCATCAATGGCCCACACAGCAGCTAAACATTTTTTTCCCACAGATTCCAAACTGTGGTTTCATAGGGGTTAATTTTTTAGACTTATATGCTACCGGTATTAACTTGTTATTGGTTTTTTGCATCAATACCATCGCTAGACTGCATTGGATTGCTGCCAACTTAATTACAAACGGCTTGTTTATCTCTGGGAATTTCAATGCTGGATCTTGCATTATGGCTTGTTTTAAATGACAGAAAGCTCTTTTTTGGTTTAGGCCCCCACTTTCAGTCTACTTTTTTTTAGTGAACACCACAAGGGTCCAGTTATAGGGGCAAAATTCCAGATGTGTTTTTTAAATAGTTAAACCCTCCTAACATCACCCGCAACACATGAAAGTTCTTTGGCCTTGGGAAATTTATTAATGATTTTACCTTTTGTTGATTTACCTGAATTTTTTCTTTCCGTAGGCTCACCCCCAAATAATTTACTTTTTTTTTTGCACTCATTGGGCATTTTTTTTATTAGCCTTGAAAGCCGCTTTCTGAATGAGTTTTAACACCTTTTTAGTTCGCTCAGTCGCCTTCTTTTTAATGTGTCCCCCACACTAATATGTTATATACATCGGAGCTGACTTTTTTTAAAATTCTTTTTGGAGAATTGATCCAGCATTCGCACCACATGTTGGTGCGCAGTAGCCGGAGCGCAGTGTGGGCCCCGGGGAATGTTTTTAAATAAGTACGGTTGTTCCTTACAAGTGAACGCAAAGGGACGGAGGAAAGTCAACGCAGGTGGTGGCAGGGGAACAAGGTGGGAGGACTGTGGAGAAAGCCGGGCACAGGTTTTCAGACAAATCGTTTATTTGCTGAGAAATGCAGTTCTGGTCGACCCGGGAGAAGCACCTGGAGGTGGGTCCGATATCTCCCATAAAGCGGCTGTGCAGGGGAAGAGCAAGTCCTGTTCTTCCCCTGCACAGCTGGGATTAGCAGATAGGAGCCCCGAGCAGGGGCGCTCGGAAGATCGGACCCACCTCCACCTCTGGGAACCTCCTGCGGCTGCAGGAAGCTCCGGGGCCGGCTCTGGACTCCAGACAAGGTGTGTTAGAACCGGTGCCGTTTTGTTAAGTCTGACTGCCAGGAGGAACGCACCCTCACACCGAGTCAACAGGGCAATCTGATCCTCGCTCTCCTTTAGTGCTAAGGCTCCATTTATCGAGGGTTCACAAATGGATCAACCGACATTATAAGCATATTACAGACCTGGGGCATGTGTGTTATACATGGTTGTAAGCCCTGGTCATTAGCCACCTATTGACCTGCTGGCCTCTGTAAACCTCTGTAACAATTAACCATTTATTACAATATCTATTAAGCATTTATTAACTCTTTATAAAAGGAACCTTTAATCCAAAGGGCGCTCGTTTCCTCTGCAGCCCCACCTCTCCTTTGCCCCACTCGGTCAGACATTTTGGTTACATCTCAAGTCCTTGGGGGCAGAGACCTGTTTTCTCTGCCTGTCACCCAGCACACTTGTGGGCCCTATAATGTAATGATGACAGGTACTTTCTGGGTACCACTGGAAGATTAAGAGTGGATATAATTATCGTGGATGGATGGATAGATATGATCAGTCTTGGCTATTCCAAAGGACAGAGAAAAAATAAAAACCTGACAGAAAGACAGGGATCCTGGCTCTTCTGAATGACTGACAAAGACCACGCTGTCCCAGCATCCAGCCTCCCTCCCTGACAGTCGTCCGTGTTCCTCCAGCTGACGATCAATTGGAGCCAGTTTCTGAGAGTTAAGTGCTCACCAGGGTGTAATCGGCGACAATGAACAGCTCCATGTACTTCAGGGTCCTCCAGGTGTCTCTCTTTGCCTGCACAACAAATCGCAAGCGTCACGAGAAAGGAGGAAAAGGAAGCAAGTGCAACAGACAGGACTCAGTCCAAATTCTCAGCAACCCCAATCTTGACATTCAAGCTCACGTGCACTGAACAGTGATGGGGAAACGTTCAGAGAGAGGGAAACCGAGGCACAGAGCAGCAAAAAAAAATCTTGGCGGCTCAGATGCAATTTGCTGATCTGTAACAGGACCGTAACACCAACGTTAACCGCCCGTATCTTGCAGAACCCGCTATGGGATCTTTATTGCCCAGTGTTCCGTTTCACATTTCATCCAAACCAGAGCAACTTTTAACACTGTGCTAGTGAACTGGGCTCCATCCCAGCCCAGAGGGAAGAACGCCAGCTGCTAATCCACCAGCACTGCTTCCTGCTACATTTGTTTCCCCCTTAGAGAGCTCCCGTCCAAGCACAAACCAGGTCTGACCACGGTTAGCGTCTACAAGCTCACCGCACACGGTGGCACGACCGCAGGAGGGAGCGGTTATCACACCCGGCTTTATACGGCCACACCTGGGGAGCTGCCCGCAGCTCTCACCTGCCTCCGCACAGGTAAGGACCATTTAACAGGGCAGCGAAAGGAAAGCAAAGACTTACCCGCCGATGTACCGGCCTGACGAGTCTGGCAATGTCAGCTATGCTGCTTCCTAACAGGCCGCTATGCCCACAAGTCCCGCCTTCGACTGGCAAGTGCTCTGCCCTATAGAGGATGTGATGCTCAGGTTCCGGGGTCCCCAGGGGTTTCAAGTAGTAGCTATCGTTGGCATTCAGCACGATCAGGCCGCTGGCAAAGAAGAGAGGAGAGACATGAATGGAAAGGGAACAAGCCAGTCACCTTCTGCACACGAGGAGTTCAAGGGCAACTCTGACCAAGTTAACCAGGGGAGCAGAGCAGAGACATGCCCTAAGAACATGCGCGAGGGCTCTGACCCAGCAAAGCACTTATGTGTGGGCCTAGCTTTAGAACGTGAGCAGTTCCAGTAACTTCTAATTACACGTTAACGTCATGCGTGTCACTGAAATGCTGTGCTGGATCGGGGCCCAACACAACAGCCTGTTGGCGTGCAGTCTGTGGGCACTCACTGGATTAGTACAGATCAGGCACAGAGTGGCGTGTGCGCTTTACAGCTGCTACAGGAAGTGGGGGGCGTCAGGGAGGACTTTGAAAGGGAAGGCAGGAGTTGCTTGGCAAGCGTTCCCTGGGGGCTGTTAGAATCATAGAATCTCAGGGCTGGAAAGAGGTCATCTAGTCCAACCCCCTGCTCAAAGCAGGACCATCACCAGCTAAATCATCCCAGCCAGGGCTTTGTCAAGCCGGGCCTTAAAACCTCTAAGGAAGGAGATTCCACCACCTCCCTAGGTAACCCATGCCAGTGCTTCACCACCCTCCTAGTGAAATAGTGTTTCCTGATATCCAACCTAAACCTCCCCCACTGCAACTTGAGACCATTGCTCCTTGTTCTGTCGTCTGGTACCACTGAGAACAGTCTAGATCCATCCTCTTTGGAACCCCCTTTCAGGTAGTTGAAAGCATCTATCAAATCCCGCCTCATTCTTCTCTTCTGCAGACTAAAAAATCCCAGTTCCCTCAGCCTCTCCTCATAAATCATGTGCTCCAGCCCCCTAATTGTTTTTGTTGCCCTCCGCTGGATTCTTTCCAATTTTTCCACATCCTTCTTGTAGTGTGGGGCCCAAAACTGGACACAGTACTCCAGATGAGGCCTCACCAATGCCGAATAGAGGGGAATGATCACGCCCCTCGATCTGCTGGCAATGCTCTTACTTATACAGCCCAAAATGCCTAGGGGAAAGGGTGGCACAAGTCAGAAGTGGGTGTGGGAAACAATGCGAGCGGGCGAGAGAAATTCAGACGGAGGATTAGGGCAAGGGGCAGGCATTTGGAGAGGTGGGACAGAGAGATATGGGAAGAGATGCCGATGGACCAGCGAATGAATAAACAGCCGTGAATAAATGGATCCAACAATTTCATGCCTTGGAAAGGAACAGCTCGCTCTGTAGCTAGGGGCCTCGCTCGCTCCTTACTGATTTGATCTGAACCGTTTTGGCGCACCGGCAGTAACAAAGGACTCACGCGCTAGCTCGTCCCCTGCCCCGCCCCAGCATGCCCCACCAGGGAAGCTGCACAACCAGCTAGATCATGCAAACTCTGAGCTGCTGACAATGCAGGGCCCAAACCAGGAATCTGGTGCTCACACAAAGCCATTTACCCCAAGCAACCACTGCAAGCCAGGGCGCACGCGTGAGCAAGAGAGCAGGCCCAAAGTGCTGGAAAACAGACCCCTGCAGTCAGCAGAGACCTTGGCATCTTTATGGCACAAAGGAGAACAAACATCAAATGAAATCCCCCAGCTGACGAATCCTCCACCGCTGTCTCGGTCAGTTGCAGGAATCCTGTGTCAGATGAAAGCCGACACCCAGGCCGTCCAGCTGAGAGGCTGGCCCCACCGGCCAGAACATTCCCCCATCAAATTGAAATCACATGTGCACATAGCTGGGCGATTACTTCACCTGCTTGGATTGTTTGAGATGTGGCCCAGAATCTGCCATGTCCTTAATCCTCCTGCTGTCGCCAGAGAGCTGAGGGCAGCGCTGAACAATAGGGTAACGTTTTTCCTCCTCCTCCTCCTGAACCATGAAGGCTGGAAGCCCTGCCAGATTTCATTATTTAACCACCTAGGCATTCAGACACTGATCCCCAGCTCTTCCACAGTGGTTTCAAAGGAGGTCGGTATCATTAGCTCCATTGTACTGATAGGGCAACTGAGGCACAGAGTGGGAAAGTGATTTGCCCAAGGTCACCCTATAGGTCAGTGGCAGAGCCAGCAATGGAAATAGGTCATAGGAAGCGCAGGACTTCTAAGCCCCAGTCCAGAGCTCTATCCACTAGGCCACATTGCCCTCATGCTCCCAGTGACGAGTGAGAGGCAACAACCTAGACAGACAGACCAATTGTTTAGACGGCCTCCCCCTCAACTCTCCTCACTTTATCTAAAGTGCTACCAACATCAGCCATTGCTATTGGATCTGCTGGTAAATTTCCACACGGCTCCAGCCTTGGGAGACAGCTCCATCCTCACCTCTAGCCAGTCACACGGATTCTGCCATTAGGGGCCATGCCTGGCACGTTGGCCTTTTACACCAAAACGGCAGAGGGGAGTTAAATCGCAAAGCGAGCCAGTTCCACAGGAGATTCCCGACCCATGCGATCAGCTGTTGCTAGAGAAGATTGTTTATAGCGTGTCCGGCACTTTACTGACAAAGAGCCCCGTGTTCCACTGCCCTGCATTTTGCATAGTCAATTACATCAGGGTAGAGCACCTGTAACAGACTCCCAGGTCAGAACGGTGCCCGAAGGCACAAAGCAATGGAGAAACGGGGCCAAAGTCTCTAGCTAGCCATCCAGCGTCTTATGCTGTGCCCATCACTGTGGCATCAGGGCAACTGCGTCCAGATGATCTTACAGTCTTGTCCACAGCAGCGTCCTTTGCACCACTGCACCTGACTGGGGCAGGGAAGCGATGAAAAAAAATCAAGTGCAGAGAAGCGCCTCGCTCGCTTCAGAGTGGTGCGTCTGTCCCAGACAAACAGCAGAGAACACACTCGGCGAGGTCAGCTCGACGCTCGGCATGTTAGTTTGGTTTCATTTGGAGTTTTCCTTGTTGGTTCTGCTGTGGGGTCTCGGGAGGGGGGGGGGGGGGTTGATTGGCCCCCTGGTCGAAAGGAGTTTGGGAGCAGGATGTTTTATAGTTTCTGTCAGAAGGGACCACTGGGATCACCTAGTGCGACATGCTGCACAACACGGGCCAGAGAACCTCCCTGTGTGAACGTGAAGAGCAGTGGTCCCGTCGGCGGGCTGGGGGTCCAGGCTTCGCAGGCCATGTGGATATTCATCAGCTTGGCCAGGAGGAACAAGGACCTTGACTACGATGTATGAACTGTGCTTTCCCTGCTGGGAGTTCCCTCCTCCATTGTGCGACACAGACTGAGCCCGCACCCTGCCCCCAGTTCCCCTCCACCCGCATGCCAAACTCTCCTCCTTACCTGATCCCCGAGCAGGAGCTGAGAACCACCCAGGAGTCCTGGTACCCTCGCACGTGGCCGTGGTAATAACAGTGATCCTGGGAAAAGGGCAACAGACAGCATTGATTGGCTACCATTGGCCATCAGACAAACAGACCCTGCCGCTTGCTACTCCCACCCGCTGTTCGGTGACAAACCAACCCTGCTGTGGCCCCAAGCCAAGCCTAAATCATGTCACTTGCCAACCCACTGCATCTAAGGGTGGGGAATTAAACACACCTTGTCTGTGCCCCGCGTAGGCCATGTGATGGACTGCACCAAATTCAGCCACCTGTCCTGTCCAGGCCCAATCGCACTCCCATCAAAGGCAGTGACTTCCACGTGAGCTGGACCAGGAGCCCCACAGTGCATCTGCCCAGGTGATCAGAGCACCTTGCTCCTGTAGCTGTGGGCTATACACCAGGCAGCCCGAAGGGGAAATAATCCCCACCCCAGAGAATAAACCCCACCCAGCTGCGAGAACAAAGCCAGACTGACCACGAGTCTGGTTCCCAAAGGTCACTGGACTTGGGCTGCCTGGACCGAATTCTCACTTCACTTTACGAAAGTGGATGAGTATCATTATGCCCGCTCAGCAGATGGGGAAACTGAGGCACGGGGCAGGGCGGTGACTCGCCCAAGGTCACTTAGCAGGTCAGCGGCAGAGTCGGGAACAGAACCAGGGGCTTCCGACTCCTGTCCCTTGCTTTAACCACCATCTCCCCGCAAGCTGCGGCACAGCCAGCGAGGACAATTCGAAGGCCGGCCATTGTGTGACGCAGGGAAGGTGGATACCCACGAGGCGGAGGGACGGAGTGAGACGCTGGCAGAAGGGCAGGAAGGCCTGAGGCGGGCCGTGTGGGAAGACCAGATGGGGGAGGCGGGAGCAGAACAGGGAGCTGGAGGAAAGCAGCTGCGTGTTTCTCTTTCCCTGGGATGGGAGGTGCTGTATCCCCAGGGGCGGCTCTAGGCACCAGCAAAGCAAGCATGTGCTTGGGGCAGCCCATTTGCAGGGGCAGCAGCCGGGGGATCCAGCCTGGGAGCTGAGAACCAACAGGGGGCCCTGGGAGCTGTAGTTCCTTGGTTAGCTCCCTGCCTATAGAGCCAGCCCTGGAGCAGGGAAAGAACTACATTTCCCAGCATTCCCTTGGCCACTACCAACAGGAAAGAGAGGGGGAGGGAGTGAGGAAGCTGAGACCTCATGCTGCAGCCTGCTGTGAATGGAGAGCTGCGCTGGGAGTAGGGATACCATATTTTAACATTCAAAAAATAGGACACTCCACGGGGAGGGAGGGTAGCCCCACCCTGCCCCCATCCACTCCCTCCGACTGCCCCCCACAGAAACCCCAACCCATCCAACCCCCG